TCCAAACACTGTGAAGCGATTCTTGAGCAGTTGAGTTAAAAGCCTTCCTCAAGTTAAGGAAAATAGAGATTTTAAAATATTAAGTACTCTTGTATTTCTGGGCCTAGTGTGACATGATCGAGACATCCCCACACAGGTTCCAGTCAGGTATTAAGTAATTATGAACCCTCGAATTTAGAAGACTGTTAAGACAACCTATGATCATTACAAAATGATTCTTATTCCCTCTAATAAAATAACATTAGCAATCACTGATATTTTCCTCATAACTCATTTATTATCTCAACCAACTAGGACGTTGATTTTTGGCTGGGTTCCTTGAGGAAACTTTTGGACGTTACTTCGCCTACCTTAGCTTTGTCAGAGTTCTCTAATTTTATTCATAGTTAAATGCTCGATATTGATTCCGTATTTGTGTTGCCCCCTCTACTGTATGGCAGAAATGCAGTCATAGAGCTATCTTTGCATGATGTCACAATATGAAAACTTGTTTGCATTTTATTTGCTTTCTGAAATATGTTAAATGTCATAATTGGGCTAGTTTAGAGCTCTACATCTACGATTACCATAATTAGAGTCTTTCTAGACTCACTATGGCTATAGTAACGACTCAACTACTGAGTATAATACAAGTGTAGACAGTGGCATTAGTAGTCTGAACTCCTCGAGATTTAGTAGTACATTTAGCGCATACGGATATTATAGTAATCGTATTAATACGTAACTGATGAGATCCGTAACTTTGTAAGCACTCACAACCCTTACGTTTGATATTCGAAATCTGTTAGTCACAGAAATAAATCAACTTTTCATTATTACTGAATTTTGTAATTACTTGGAATTTACTTGACAAATTAGCTGCTAAGTCATACTAAACTGTACTATCAGTACATAAACTAGTTGATGTGAAAGTTCCATATGCATAAAAGCAATGATTCATCGTAGATCAATGCATAAAAAACTTTATTTCATGCCATAAACAACAATGAATATGAACATATTAACTGTGATGTTAATACCGAAAAGAATGCTTGCTAACTTGAAGTATCTTGAATCTTCGGCAGGGATAAATCATGGATTTAAGGTGAATGAAGTATTACATCACCTTGGGTTAGTAGAAGCTTAGTCGTAATGCACGTAAACTTAAAACCAGTAAACTATTCACATTTAAATGACGATAGTTGGAATTCTTGGCTATCATGTTTTGTACTTACTTTTTCTAACAATTGAGAAAACTATTTTTATGGTTTGTTATCAGTTGAGTTTAACTACTCAGACAAAATTATATCTGAAACATTAGTTGTATAAATATTCACATTAAACATCAGTGTGTCAATAGACGATAAAACTCATAGCTCTTATGTAGTGACCTAAAATAAAGCGACAGCATTTAAAATGTAAGGTTAACATTAATATTTGTTCCTTCTATTTCTCTAGTTACGAACAATCAAATCAGGATTATACATTCGTTATTCAATAAGAAGAAAATAAAAGGTTATGAGAATTGTTGAGAGGAATAATTAAGTTGAAACATCAACATTACACTGAGATGTGTTTTCAACTACTTATAAGTAGTCATATTTGTGTATCATCATTCGTAATTTAAATGTTGGATTAATTCGTTAATGAGATATCAACTTTTTTTCCTATTTGATCATAGTAGTACAATTTTGATCCCCTCTTAGACTAATTCTATGCACATTTAAGGAATGTATGATAATATCTGATAAAGCCTTGAAATTAGATGGATTTATTTTTCTCTTCAAATATTATTGTACTTGATTTGAAAAAAATGGTCAAAGAAATATGCTCAACTGAGCGGTTCGTAACATTCATCCATGTTAGAATTTCCAGCCAGAAACCCACCCCAGTATTACTTGTCACAATAAAATAATCAGAAACGTGCTAAATAGAGACAAATAACAATGTTTTGAAGAAATAAGTGAAGGAAAACTTCGTGACTAATGAGTACGTTAAACTGTACCGTTTTGAATAGAAAGATAAAACAGATATCATTCAAAACCACTTTTTATGAACAACACGAAAAAACTACAGCATGACTGACACTGGATATTATTTTGATTCATGTCTGGCAATGTATAAATCAGTTGAGTTACACAACTTCTAGGATCCCCATCTAAAGAGCCATGATGAACAGGTGAATTGTAAGCCGATATAATTGTTCTTTCTTCCCTGACCTCATATCATGAAATGAATGCCCGTTTGATTTTGTGTTCATCCCCAGTGTCAGTATATAATGCACAATATGGAAGCCGCTAAGCCAGATTGAGTGAAACATGACCAAAATGTTTTAAGACGGTAGAATTATAATCTTCAATGATAAAGGTCTCACAAAAACATCCAAGCTAGCAGATAGTTGATAGAAAATGTAATTTTCATTTTTCAACACAAAAATAATCACCTGGAGATCGCAGCATTCTGATTACTGATTTTTAATAGGGTAGTATCTCTTGCGATTTCAGTAACACGTAAGTAAGGTAAAAGAAGTGGAATTTCATGAAGTCGACGATTTATATCATAAAACTCTTCTTCGTCACCAGTTTCTCGATTAACACCAACAAATATGTAGTCATTCTTTGATTGTAATATATCAAATAATGGTAACTTTGCTGCGGAAATCCAAAGCTGTACTTTGATTTCTTCTAATGTTGACTCTGAATTCACCTGAAAAATTATACACAAACAATATGATCGTTATACATTTTTGGTTGGTTTGTTAAGTTCTAAGCATATTAAAATCTTGACATGTGAAATAATATCGGTTGAACATTCATCTAAAAACAAGAATAATTGACTCAATAGTAATGACATATCAGTTTGTGAAGCTACACTACACATAAAGAAAATAGTCAGAAAATAAAAAAGCCGACTGAGAAACATTAACACAACAGAAATACGAACACGCTCGATTTGTATAGAAATATGAGTAAATCCAGTTGAACTACTTAGATTATTTGTATAGTCACTGGGTAAGGATACGCTTCAAATATATGAACTTAAATGGAGCTTGGGATGAAACAAACTGACCCCGCAACTTACTTAAAACCGACTAAAATATGTAAACACACTAATCCATACTATTTTATAGCTCCTTTGTGACAGCCTATTTAACATAAAAATTATTATAAAGAGTAGGTACAGACCTCGAGTATTGCTGCTAAACTTAACCCAATTTCAAGGTTCTTGTCATAAGGTTCATAATTTAGTCTATGTTCCTTTGACCTACTAAGTCATCTTAAAGATCCTAGTCAACAAAGATTTACAGCTATATTGAATTTTTGGTTCTCATTAACCAAAAACAAGGGCTTAATTACCGAATTGGCTTCTCGTTCGTTTATTTAGAAATTAGTAATATCAACCACAAGCAATCTGGTGTTTTTAAGACTAATAACGATGAATAACAACAGCACAATAAAAAGTAGGCAGTTATGAGGTCTATTAACTCGGTGGTCAGTAGGTGGGTGCTAAATATGTCCAACAGGTATTATAAATTTAGAGCTCTAATACATAAATCCCAAAATAAAAGATTTTTCAGACAACTGCTTTACAATCGACTGACGCATTCTATTAGATTTACGAGCTGGCAAACTATCTGGCGTTATGATCATTTCACTGGCCCTATAATGATCACTATATTAGTGGTAAATGTAGCTAAACTCACTAGTATTTATGTGATGTATGCTACTTAAGTTGACAAATATAAGTAGTATGTAACATCAATCAGAAGTGGGATGCCTGGCAGGAGAATGTTGAAATCGAATTGAAGAGAAAAGGAATGTAAACAGAGGGTAATTGTAACAACAGGAATGAAGGAACGGTGAAGTTTGTAAGAAACAATTGATGGAAGGTGTACAAATGAAGCACTTAACGTATGGTTTTTATATTTTATGAAAGCATCCTTTAATAATGCGAATATATTATTGAGATGTGAAATAAACGATGTAAAATTACTCAACTAATGAGGCGGCTATGATAATCAGAAAATTATAGATTTATTTTCTATATATAAAAAATTACAGAGACAACTTACTGTAAGTGGTATTATAATCCCATTAGGTAAGAGAAATTTTATAGTTATATCCGAACCAACCAGTAGGGAGAATGTCCTTTTAAGTTTAGCAGTTGGAGACATGAAGTTAATCAAGCATTTAGTATGTGAATATCACGCTGAAAAGAAAAAACGACCAGTACCATAAATCATGATAGTTAAATTAGTTCAGACTTATGTGCAATCCTCTGATCCAGTTACTGAGACCACCGAACTAATCTGTTCTTTAAACCGAATTAAATGAGGAGAAGAATGATGGCTAGCAGTAGAATCCAAGACACGGGTTTCACCCTATCAGTTAGTGGCTATCTGGACTCAATAACTAAAAGGATAATGAGGTGGTGTTCGAAGCAAACGGTACCAGGTTCGAGTCCAGGAGCGAATAAGTCCAGAATGCAGTGACATTCGGCTGAAGAGTCCAAAGTAGAGTGAAACGAGCGCCTTGAATTTCACTGTTAACCACCATCCATCTCTGCCTATAATTCTAGTGACTTAAGGAAATGTCGAAGCAATCGGATGCATATATCCCAAAAGAGACTGATCTATTATAGTCTTGAACATCAAATAAATAATACGAAATTGAACTAAGTGGGGAGAAGGTCCATACCTATGAGATAATGACTAGATACAAATTCTTCGTCTAGTAAAAGTTTCAAATCAAATCATAAATAAAAGTTACAGAAACAATATATGCCTTATCAAAAATTACTAAGTAAATGATGTTTTGCGTGTTTTGATGTTTGTATTGTGTCAGATAAAAGAACAGACCCATCATTTGAAATGCTTGTATTTCTGGTAGTGTATAAAGATGGTGTACTAAAAACACACAAAAATGACTTACGCATGGTTTTTCTATCTAATCAACCCATCCTCTGTAGTAACTTTATTTTCTTAAAAATACTGAATCCACATTACTTACTTATTTACTTACTTACTTACGCCTGTTACTCCTCGTGAAGGAGCATAGGTCGCTCACCAGCATTCTCCATCCAACCCTGTCCTGGGCAATCCTTTCTAGCTCCGTCCAGTTGTAATTCATCGTTTTCACATCTGCTTCTATTATCCGACGCAATGTGTTCTTTGGCCTTCCTCTTTTTCGCTTCCCTTCAGGATTCCAAGTTAGGGCTTGCTTCGTGATGCAGTTTGACGATTTGCGTAATGTATGTCCTATCCATTTCCATCGTCTTTTCCTAATTTCTTCTTCAGCTGGAAGTTGGTTTGTTCTCTCCCACAGAAGGCTATTGCTGATGGTATCCGGCCAATGGATGTTGAGTATCTTGCGTAGACAGTTATTTATAAATACTTGTACTTTCTTGATTGTCGTTGTTGTAGTTCTCCAAGTTTCAGCTCCATACAGTAGAACTGCCTTGACGTTCGTATTGAAGATTCTTACTTTGATATTGGTTGAAAGTTGTTTTGAGTTCCATATGTTCTTCAATTGTAGGAAAGCGGCCCTTGTTTTGCCGATCCTCGCCTTTACGTCTGCATCGGATCCTCCTTGTTCATCGATGATGCTTCCCAGGTATGTGAAGGATTCTACATCTTCCAGAGTTTCGCCATCAAGTGTGATTGGATTGCTGTTCTCCGCTTCGAATTTGAGGACCTTAGTTTTCCCTTTGTGTATACTGAGGCCTACTGATGCAGAGACTGCTGCTACACTGGCTGTCTTCATCTGCATCTGTTCGTGTGTACGTGATAGGAGGGCTAGGTCATCTGCGAAGTCCAAATCGTCTAATTGATTCTGAGCTGTCCATTGTATTCCGTGTTTTCCTTCAGATGTCGAGGTCTTCATAATCCAACTGAATCCACATAATCAGTTAATAACTCAGATGAGAAACACGTACTATTAGTAAGAAGCAAAATAAAGTTTTGACTGTAGACTATCAGCTATAACTTTGATAATGACTCCACAAAACGGTTTATATTTTCAAGACAGTACACAAACAGAAACCGGGATGAATCAGAATGGAATCTAAGATGTTCAAAACAAGGAGACATATTGATATCAATGTAAACGGCTATTTCACAAAATTGGGAGAGTAAGATGTCCAACGAATCAGTCAGCAACAACGGAGAACTTTGTACGTACGTACAACAGTTCAGGTTGTCATACCACATTAGCACAGAGATGCAATTGTCGATTGAAATCCCATAATGGTAGGGGCAGTAAAAGTATAGGCAGTGATCGAAAAGATTAGATTTTGGAGATGTTATTCGAGGAGTATAATCCAGTAAAATAGATTTGGAAAGAGAAAAAAGGGACATGAAGAATTCGGAAGATTAGAATTTGGGGGAACACAAAGAGTGAATGCCCCTGATTACACCATTTCAAACGATTTTGAGCCATGTCATTCAAGGTCTCTAACCATCGGTTTCTATCGTCTCACGGATCCCAACCAAGTAGTTTACACCTACCAACATGGTTCAGTCCACTTGTCAGTAACTTCATGGGTTTATGTCATGCTTTGGTCTGGCCACCCCTAGCTTTCTCCCAACCTAATCCTACACCATAAAACACCGCACATCGGTGGTTGGGCATACGTAACACATGTCCCAACCATTTCAACTGATGAAGTTTCACTACTTCATCAATTGGTTTGCCATCCTTACCTAGTACCCGTGTCCTAACAACTGCGCTATTCACTCGATGGTCCTAGGATATACGAGCAATGTTTCGAAGACACCTGTGTTTAAATACTAGCAACCCGTGAATATTCTCTAATCTTACCGGAAGGAAAGTGTCATCTCCAAAAGCACCTCAACGACAAAGTTAAACAAGAATGGAGAGAGTGGACAGCTCTGACGAACACCACTTGAGATAATTAATTCTGATGACAGTTCGCCATAAGCTCTTACTCGATAGGTTTGTTCGAGTATAGAGCCTTTATAAGGTTAATGTACTTATTTGGTAAATCTTTCAATGACACTGCAAAAGAACCTTACGATCAGGGTCAAACGCTGTCTTAAGGTCGAGAAATACTACTATTGTGGAATGTCTGAATGTGTCTGTGTCCTAGAACCTGACGCAGTGTGAATATTTGGTCTATACAACCATGTCCAGGTCGAAAACCAGCCTGATTTTCTCTAGTTTGCTCTTCATGAGCTTTAGTTAGACATCGAAGTATTATTGAAGCTAATATTGTAGACACTATTAGTCAAACTGATTACTCTGTGATTGTCACCAGAGGACTTTAGTCCTTTTTTATAGACTGGCACAATCAGTGATTGAGACCAATCAGATGGGGTTACGTCCAGTTCCCAGATTCTACTTAAAACCTCAGTCAATCTCACTGCTAACACTGAACTGCCATCCTTGAAAATCTCAGGGGTAAACCTGAGATAAATCGTACTTAAATGAAGTGAAATTGAATGAAACTCCTTTACAATAACCACTTATACTTAACAACAACCTACTTGTAAATCGAGAGTTTATAGGACCTGATACCCTATGATACCAGTTCAACAGCCAATATATATAATCCACATAGGCCATCCGCGAAGAATACAGGCGTTGTGTTACTTTTTACAGAAGATACTCCGTTCACATAGTGGTGTGGACCAATCTCCACAGTCTCCGAATATACTCAGTACGCGAGCAGTTGGTTGTTGGATAATGCATTCGACTTATACCTATTAGTTTGTAGATTATAACGTTTTTTCGTTCACCGGGGTGTATATAGCTCGATAATGTCACTAAATTTACCACTGAAAAGTACGAACTGAAGTCGAGCACATGAGTTCGCATATGATCGCTGAATTTCACTGAAGGCAATCCAATTTATTGAACATGCTCCAAAAACATGAAATTCTCCAAATGCCCTGGTATGGCCGAGAGTGGGGTGGGTTCGCCCTCCCTCTCGAAATGCTCTCACACGGCCACGCGTATACAGCCTCTGCCAGGGAAGTCCTACTCATTACCTTCTCGTAGCGGGGGTGTTGTTTACGAAAATGAGAGGACGAAAAGCGAATGTCCGGCGCTTTAACCGGATTCCAAACCAATGGTGCACATGGGCTCCAGTATCCTGAGGGAACAAATGGCGTATGAACCGATCGCTGGTCACCTGCTACCATGGGAATGCATCTCCTCACGATGCTTCACTGCCTTGTGGATCGGACCTTTAGGTCAAAGGCTCGGGGTGTGGCCCCATAAGAAAACCACCTGCTTCGGTTTGGGCACCCGGGCAGTATCACAGCCCACACACACACAAATATGGTGTGGCGCATATATATTTGGTGCCTTCTTGTACCGATATTTATGTGTAGAAATAGATAAATAAATAAATTTAAAGAATTGGTTGATTTTGAATAACGGCATAAATGCTCATATATGTTTCACCTGACCTATATTTGGTATGTTATAAAAACCGACCAGCAATTTAAAACCAAATGATTCATAGAATAAGTGGACATGTGGAACTCAGATCAAACAGTCTGACACTTTGAGACTGATTCCTACAGAATAAACGGGAATTTAAAGGATTATAATCAAGTGATATGTGCTGTGAGAAAAGTAGGTGGGACTGACTACTAAAGATGCTGAAGGTATATGGACAATCATCAACTTACTTGAGAGTCTACAGGCTCTCATCCTATAGGATGATCAGCGAGGATTCATAAGTCAAATCGTGAACTGAATCATCAGAAATACATTTGAAAATCAAGGGATACAACTAGATTTTAAGATATCTTCAGTATCCTGGCACTCTAACATACAGTATTTGAGGCTATAAGATGGAAATTAGCGTGGAATACTTCACCTACAGTATAACGTTATACTGCACGGGAAGGTCCGTAAGAAACGAGATAAGGACCTAAGGGTCTTACTCCAAACCACAATAGTGAAGCCACAGATAATTCATCTCCTAAAAACATCATAACGTAAGGCTGGTTGGTGACCATCAACTAAAGCAACCAATAAAGACAAAGGGCAAACAAGAAGTAAGTAACGGCGACATTCCGCTAGAAAATAAGGGGAAAAGAGTGGAGAGGCGAGTCAAAGTCCCATTTCTCGCCTGTCATGAGCAAATAATGAGAACCTTCCCCTTTTTGTCGTTCTGCATTTGAGATGCCGCCGATTTTTTTACTTTTAGCCTAAATGTACGCCTTCATCACTACTTTCCTAATAGCTACTAGGGCACAACGAAGTGAACTACGCGATATTGTAGTCAAAGAAGGGTAGTCTGAAAATTATTAAACGAAATCAAACTCGATATGCTTACTACCAGTAAGACTGTCACCCTTTCCAAACTAAGGTTGATGAACAACTGATTATAAAAACGACCTCAACAGCTGATACCGTCCCGACCTTGAAAAACAATTTGTTTGGCGCTATGGATTTCAGCAACTAACAATTGAATGATCAATGGGTGGTGAACAATATCAAGTGTGTCAAGTCCTTCGTAGTGCAGATCGAAAGCTATCGAAGAATTTTTAACCTGACAACTAATCTAGGATACTCGACATTGCGTGTACTATGTTGAGATTAGATGGTGGTTGGAAATAGTCAACAGGAAACCCTAGACCCAGGTTTCGTGCTACTTGACACTTGTCAGCAAGGAAACTGGTAATAACACGAAACCCGGGTTGAGGGTTTCCTGTTGAATGTCTCCAACCACCATCAAATCTCACTATAGTGCACGCAATGTCGAGTAACCTAGACTAGTGGTCACTTCGATAGCATTCGATCTGCACTACGAAGGACTTGACACACGTGACGTTGATCACCACCCAGTGATCAATCAATAATGATTATATCTCAGTCCTGCAGGAGGTCGGTCGCGGCCCGCATAGCCTAGTGGTAACGTCTCTGACTGTGAACCTGGGTTACACGAGATCAAATCCGTCAGGGAGCACCAGTTCCCTATAGACTACAGGTACACTTTTCTGAAGAGTGCCGAAAAGCATGAAACCCGGGTCGAGGATTCCCTGTTGACTACCTCTAACCGAGAGAGTTTATCCGCAACGCAACCATGTAAACTTAATGTATCGCCAAGTGTAATAACGGTCATCTGTGCATTCAAGGAACCACAGATTTCGTCGTTTCATAAGGTTCTTAATTAAATAAATAGATTATGTTGTTAATTTTGCTCTGTTTTTAATTTTTATTCGCCACGTCCGACTGCATTACACTGTACGTTCATTGCACGCTGGGATGATATCCCAGGTCATAGTTTAATCACATAGTTTATTGTTTCCAGATAGACCGTCAGTGCATGGTGTTACTGAAGAAAGGTTTGTTGTACTGTGTACTATGTTTTTATGAACAACTGACTGATGTCTTCAGCCTGAAAGCAATATATATATATCCTTTGTCTTCTGTTAGGTAAGTTCGACTGGCCTATATTTCGTGTTTTGGTTTTGTCGGCTTAATTATATCCATTTAACTACTTTGAGCAACATGTCTGTGCAAATAAAACAATAATTATGACATTTGCTTAGTTTAGTATTCTTGGTTGTCGTATAGTTCAGTTTAGTCGGAAGAATTATGGTACACTTAAGCATAGTGCTTGAAGCCTGTAACGAAACAGATCAGTTTAGCAAATAGAGCTGCCTGTTCCTAGTGAGTATACTGATTGAAATCAGTCTGAATAAAAATAGGGAAAAAATGCCTTTGGTACTGTTGCTGTCATACATTATAAGATAGCTTTAAGTATGTTTGGTGTTTATTTCTAGTCTGTACATCTATCACTAACCATATTTCAAGACCACTGTCATTAAACAATTTCCCCAGCAATAACATCGGTAGCAGGATAGCTAAGCGTCTGACCTTTTATTCGCCTGTAGAAGAGCAGT